GGGGGGGGGGGGGGGGGGGTGTTGTAGAAGGGGCTGAACCCCTGCCTTTGGTCTGGGTGATAAATGTGCCTCTGAAACCCATCTCGGTGCTGGGGATGCTCTGATTGGAGAGATGATGGAGTGCCTGCTTTGGAGTGACTGATCATGCATTAATTAATTAAAAATACACCTCAAGTGCTCTAATATTGATGCCAGTTAGGGGTAGAGAGCTGAGTGCTGCTGACGCTGAGGTTGTGTATTTAAAATCTTGTCTTTCCCATTTCTGTGACTCTTAACAGCTGGAGATGGAAGATGAAGACACTATTGATGTGTTCCAACAGCAGACGGGTGGAGTGTGCTAAGACGTGCCGTCCTGAGAAGAGGAGCTTAAGGATCCTCACCACACCTCACTCTCTCATCTGTCTTTGGATTTGCTATTAAATAGTAAACAAATGAACATGCCAATCACATGGGATTCTTCTAAACTTTAGAGGACATTTACCAAAATCGCTTGTTGTCTTTGACGTACTGCGTGTGCAAGTCAAAACAGTATCTGCAGGGATTAATCTATATCTTAAATTGGGCCGATTTGATTTAAGTTCAGATTAAGTAATATGTGTTGTCTGTCTGCTGTTATCTTCTTCCCCCCAACCCCTTTTTTTTTTTTCTTTATTTTTTTCTTTTAAACCTGTGGCCTAAACATTCATCCGTGTGTTAAGACATGGAGCGTTCATTCCTGGCTCTTGTCAGTCTTGCCCCTCTGTTTAATTCTGATCGTGTAAATAATTCAGTATATTTTCATGCCGATAGTGAGCATAAAAGTTTTCCTTTTAAGATCTGCCTACGGGAAGGAACAGAGGCGCCGATGTGAAGTTTTTAGCGTGTTTTGCAAACACAGTTACTTGGGGAAGCGTCGAGCCTGTGGCACAAGGCTGGTACATGCAGATACAGCGCTTTAGTAGAGTGTTGGAGTTTAAAATATTGCAGATTTACGTGTGCTTTGTCATACTATGATGAAGTCGTCAGAAATATACTTTTTTAATGCAGAAGTTAGACTTGTCCTGAGTTGCTGTCAGAACCGGAGTTAGCAGAGCCGCTCATCCAAAAAGTGCGTGGACTCAGGTTTCGTCGTAATACTTGTTTTTGGGAGATAAACTTGATCTATAAATGAAGATTAAAAAAAACAACCCCACACCACCCCGCAGGCGGTGTCCCCAGGCTGTCTGTGGGACCCTGGTGGGTGGGGAGATGGGGGTGTGTTCCACAAATAATAACCCACTCTGCTGCCTTCCCAAACTTGCTGGGTTTTAGAGGTGTTTGGGGGGGGGGGTGGGGGGGCTCTGTACCGGGGCGGGGGTTTGCCGAGGCCACCCTCTTGTCCCCGCTGCTGCTCCCTTTGGCCCCCGTGGGTTGCCTCCTGCCAGCTGGGAACCTTGCCGGAAAGGCCCTTATTTTATTTTTTTTTTTCTATTCCCTTGTCTGTAGGCTGGGGTGAGAGTTCCCGTGGATCCCATGGGTTTATTCACCGGTTTGTCTGTTTATTTGCTGTGCTTCCCTGAGGTACGCGGTAAATCCCGCTGGCAGCTCTGCCTGCCCCTCTCCCTGCCCCCCTCCCCCGGGGGCTCCGGAGGTGCCAGAAGAGCCCCCTCACACACACACACCTCCCGGGGATGCGCCGCACTCCCCTGTCCGCAGCCGATTTTCCTGCGCAACCCAACTTTTTTGGCCTCTTTTCTCCCTCTTGTTCATCCAGGAGCTTGTCGCTCCGCTCCCGCAGTCTCCCCCCTCAGGACCGCCGCCGGCCCCGCCCCTTCCCCGCCGCCCGAACGGCGTTTTCCCGCCCGCCGGGGCGCTCGGCGCTGCGCGCGGGCGGCGCCTGCTCTGCGCATGCGCGGCGGCGGCGCCGGGAGGCCTGGCCCGGGTACCATAGAGG